AGGCTTCTACTCCAGCGACTCTTATCATCCAAAGGGTCTCGGTGGATCCGCGGTTCCTCCATTCTGTTCTACCTGGAGTTCGCCTTTGGTTCTTGTGCAGCGGAAAAAAATCTTTTGGTCTAGACTTAATAATGGGTCTCTGTTTTTTTCCTGTTCCGAAAAAAAACAAAACAAAGATGACAACGACCGTTTCCTCTTGTATTTGACCAATACTACAAGAAGAAAAACTAAATTGAATCTTCACAAGAATTCTATATTCCAACTGTATTATATGATATACTAATTCGTGGTACAGTCTAGAGATGGGCATATCCTATTCGGAGTACTGAGAACCAAGTGTTTTATTCAAATACTGAACTTTTTTTAGTAACAAAGAATTTAATTGCTACAGTTGATGCCAAACGATTAACTGAAGTAGTGATTAAATTCCTGATAGTGATACAACTTTAGTAAAATACTTGGTACTCTGTACTCAGAGTAGCAAAAGCCCCTATGGTACAAACTCCTTTTTATCAAATTAATAACATCCGACAAAAACTCCGTCTATGGCTTCATCTTATAACTTTCGTAACGTAACCTATAACTTTTTTATATATCAAAATTCTCGTAATGGGCGCGATTATAATCTGGAGATCGGCAAACTTCGTCAATTTGATTTGTTTTAGAAAATTCTTAATTGAGATCTATTACAATTATATCTTTTTTTTAAAATTTTTTATTTAAGATCTGTTTACTGAGAAATAATACATTTTGCCACACTTAAGGGCACTGAGTACAAAAGCTGAGTGACGCACATTCATACTATATATATATACAATACAATAAAAAACATATATATATATATTGAAATATCAAAAAATATTGTTACATATAAGGACAATAGTAATAGTGACAGAAGAGTAGCCCATTCACAATATCTGCAATAAGTAAACAAAAATAAACAACAACAATAAAATAATAATACTAAAAGTAAATGTATATATATATATATATATATATATATATATATATATATATATATATATATATATATATATATATATATATATATATTAAATTCCTGATAGTGATACAACTTTAGTAAAATACTTGGTACTCTGTAATCAGAGTAGCAAAAGTAACAAAGTAACAAACTCCAAAAATGTACGTATATATATATATATATATATATATATATATATATATATATATATATATATATATATATATATACATTTACTTTTATATATATATATATATATATATATTTAATGAGGTATTATAAACTCATGAACACCCAATTGCTGCTCAATTGAATCGAAAGATAATTTCATCACAATCTCGAGAAAAAAGGTGGCCTAAAAAAATATTGGACCGTTTGGCTTGGCCTGCACCCTATATATAGCATATACGTATATCCTATACATATGATTTACGAAAAAAAAGATAAGCCCATAAGTAGGAAAATCCTCCACACTATAACCGAAGCGATTTCTGACAAAGTACGCATGGAGGGGAATGATTTATAAAGAACAACTCATAGAAACTGGTCAATCAATATATCATGATATAAAAGCAAGAAGATCACGATGGACGCAGCTTGTATTTAGGAGATATTTATCAGGAAGCCTTTAAACATTAATGAATGCCTCAGTACCACCACGATCATGTGGAAGGCTAAAAAAAAGATGGTTAGATTTAATGATCAAAAAAGCCAAATAGTTATTGATGGATAAGGCCAGTTAAGGCAATATATAGAAGGTCTGTAAAGGGACAGAAAATAAAAAAAAATGTTAATTTTTGAAGTCACAAATTACAGAGTTTTAATAATTCGAACAGATAGATTGTTCGAAATATGAAGAGTTAAATTTAAATTTCAAATGATGAAAAAACGCACCAGGTAACGAAGTTTCCTTTTCTATTCCTGATAACCCTCAGAGACGTCTGAATAGAAGATTGCCTCGGGACCTTCTAATATAGAAATATAATTGGAGTGATACCAATAGGTAGTTTCTCTTCATGTCACTTATTTCATATTTAATTGTTGTATTTATCATTTAATACAGTCGTAAATTTCAATAATAAAATAAAAAACTTTTTTTTTCTTGTTCGGATTACCAATTGTTTCGAATTATCGGGACTGTATTATCCTACAATCCAATCCCTTTTCTAATTACCGTCTTCCTGAGTACACCTTTCCTATCTTTCTCAACGCTTTACTCAGAAAAATATTAACGTCTGTTTTTATAATTTATTATTTATATTAAAAATTAAGCTCATAGAACTTACCTGCAATAAATCTCTCTATTATATACGTTTCTGTGCTTTAGTTAATTTCTGTTAAGCGATACAGAGGGTCCTAGGCAAATCTACTTTTTCTTACCACAACAATGTTTTCTTAAATCATTCGTCTGCCCAGGTCTGTCCGTTTCTTTCACCTTAGTGTTCTCTTTTTCCTTTTTCCGGTGACTTTCTTTTCCATATCTCCATCTCTATTATGTATATATTGATACAATTGCTCATTACATTTTCATTTCTTTAATATTTCTATTCTATTGTACGTTTTAAGTATGTCTCGATAGACTTTACAGTAGCTTAATTTTTCTAATAACATCTATTATTTTCTGTACATAACTTCATATTTACTCCTCGGGACTGCTGTACAAACTCCGAAAATTCCTACCACCTACATACTTCCTCATTATCCGTTCCTACCTTACTGATAGATACTTTAAAGTAAATCACAATAACGCCTATTCATCCCTTTTTGCCCAGTCCGCTGGTGTTCCTCAAGGTAGTATCCTAGGTCCTATCCTCTATACAGTTTATACAGCTGACATCCCTACTTGTCCCAACACTGTCATCACCACATATGCCGATGACACATGTATCCTATCAGTAAACAATGACCCAGCAATTGCATCACAAATGCTTCAATCACACATCATAAATCTAGAAGAATGGTGTCAAAACTGGAGAATTAAAATAAACTCCAATAAATCTCACCAAATTACCTTTACCCTTCGTCGTAAACCAACGACTTCCTGTCCTACAGTTTCCTTTAACAATACTCTACTTATCCCTGTTGAGCAAATCCGATACCTAGGACTCCACCTGGAAAAACGACTAACTTGGAATCCTCATACTAGACTGAAACGACAAGAAACCGCTCGACGTTTCCAATTACTTCAGCACTTACTAGACAAACGCTCTAAACTTCCCATTAATTACAAAAGACTCATATACTTGACTATAATAAGACCTATTTGGACTTACGGAGTTGAGCTATGGGGCTCCACTAAGCCATCGAATTCCTCTCGCATCCAATCCTTACAATCCAAAATCCTTCGTAAAATCCTCAATGCTCCTTACTTTGTCACTAATAAAATTATCCATAAAGATCTTAATGTTCCTTATGTTTCAGATCTGGCCCAATCCAGATACCTATCCTTCCATAATAAACTTCAGAATCATCCCAACCCTCTCGTTTCTAACCCTCTCCTTGCTTCCTCTTCAATTCCTGATAACCCTCCGAGGCGTCTGAAAAGAAGATGGCTCCGTGATCTCCTAATGTAGTCATATCATTAGAGTGCTACCATTGGGTAGTTACTCAGCAAGTGTATTCATGTCATTATATCAATTATGTCCAAATTTACTTGATGTATTTATGTAATACAGTTGTAAATGTCATAAAGAAAAAAAAAATATATATTTACTCCTTTTCTCTGTTTTACATTTTATTCTATGATTATTCCACTTCCTTTTAACATACTAAGACATCATATTTTAGAAACTACATCACCTCATTTATTTTATGTTTAAATTAACGTTTTTCATCTCATATATTCCATTACAGTTCATTTTTCATTTCTTATGTTACTTTCATTTTATTAGTCTCTACTTTACGGAGTAGCTCAGTGGGTAAGCACTGACTTCCAGAGCTCAAGATCCTAGGTTCGAATCCGAAGAATGATTAGTAATTTTTCATTAGCCGTTGGGTCGGGAAACTCTCCCGGGGGCACATCAAGCCTCTACAAAGTGGGTACCCTTGATTAAAAAAAAATTAAGGGGAAAAACCTGGCTGTTGAGCGTGATATCGGTCCCATCACCTCCCTGCACAACCGTTGGTCTTGTAACAGTACTTCCTCACATAGTACTGCACCCAAGACCCATCATGGGTTGTAATGGTACATGTTTATTTATTTTTTTTTTTTTTGCATTTATTATTTATTTCATAGTTATCTGTTACTTTTATTATTTGATGCATAATTTCCCAACTTTGTTACCTTTATGTTATTTATCCTAACTTTGCTTCCGCTACTCTATCTCTATATCCCTAACTTTATTTTACTTTACGTTTATTCTACCTATTTTATTTTAGGTTCATTTTATCTATATTTTACGGCTATAATTTTCACGTAAATATTATTTTCTTTTTATGTTAATAGTTTCTTATGCCCATTGTTATTTGGTTTTTTCTTAGTCCCAATGAAGGCATGAAGTTTTGGCCGTCAGAGCCATTGGGCATTCAGAAGTTCTGTTCATTTCTTTTATATAATTTTTTGTTTTCACTACAATTAATATGATGAAAAGTGTAGTATACTTGTATGATTGTTCTTGTTTCTTTTATCTGGTCAGAAAATTAAGTATACAGTAATTAAGGTTGAACATCTCCTCCTCGATAAAAAAAAGTTAATATTGTATACTACATTGCTCATCGGTCGACGTCTTCCGCTCTTTCGCCTTGGAATTTAATTTCCTTAAACAGTGGGGGGAGGGGGAGGGAGGGAGGGAAGTACACATCAGGAAAAGTTTGGCCCAAAGTAATGTAAATTTCATTGGCTGGAGGGGAGCCGCTATCGATCGGCAGTGCTTGAGTAATGAATTGTTTTAATAAACTGCCTTCGACAAACAAGTTACACAGCCCGGGAGGAAATATGTCCCGGCGGGAGGGAGGAGGTCGGACCCTAACTTGTCTCTTTAAAATTTCAGCTCGGCTATTGGAGGAAAGTTTTAATTTGTTAAGCTCGGAAGCCATGAAGTTCGGTGTCAATGATGACAGGGTTCGATTTTATAGTCGCCTCTTTTATTAGCTGGCTGCCGATCTGATGTGGCCTCCACGGGATAAGATCTTCTTCGGCTTGATCGCAAGGTACGAAAGTAAATGAGGACTGGAAAACTTTTCTGTAAAAAATGAACCAGGAAAATATAATAGTCATTCCATGGCTCGTCCAGGAACTGACATTCACTCCAACAGATTTTAATAAAAATTTATATTTATTTTATTTATTGAAATTTACAACTATACTTATTTATTTATTCCACCCTCCCATGCCACAATGACGATACGGGTGTTTGCGATAGTGTATTATTAGGCATGAATGCTTAGTAACACACCACTACTAGTTAACATGATGTGCACACATCTAGCAGTTCTTCTGTTCTTTTTTCTTCTTGTTTCGGCCTAGCTTACAAAATCTGGAGGTCTTCCAGGCGCTTGTCCTCTTCTTCTGCGGGCACCAATATGGAAGTGAGCGGGCCCCACCGCCGTCTTCCATCCATTTATGAATTCCTTAAACCGAGGTAATTTTCCTCGCTGACTAACTGTAGAAACTAATTTTCAGTGAGGACATAGACTCCCGCGGCTCTTGTCATAGTCACGCTTAACGTTTCAAATGCGGTGCAGATCGTGACCACGTGATCTACAGTTTCCGGAACACTGTAGATTAGGCATAGAGCATCTATATTAATTTACAACTGTACAAGGTAAATAAAACTAGTAAATATGAGAAAATCAAGACTAATGACATGAACAGACTTCTGGAAACAATACTCAATGATAGTGTTCCCTAAATAATTCTATGTGAGAAGTTCACATATAGGCCATATTCTTTTCAGACGCCTAGGCGGATGGTTAGGGATTGAGGAAAAAACAAGGCTGGAAACAAGTGGACCAGTCGGACTGGACTGGACTTTCTCATTTAGGATATATATCTTGCTTGGACTAAATAAGTGACATAAAAATTTATACAAATCAAATATGTACTCAAATAAGAAAAATGCAACGCTCTATCGAAGTTCTATCGAGTAGCTTCACAATTATGGGATGAACTTTTGAGATATTTGGAGTTAACATAAGATAGTTTGAATTAGAAACTAACTTGTATGTGTTTGGGCTTTTCTGTTTGTAACATGTGCTTTTATTATGGTATCCATAGAGAGGTTTGAACCATCCTTACTTGTATATGAGCCTTTCCGTTGTCAGAATGACTAACACCACAGTAAGTAAGTTGACTCTAGAGATTGTAGTGTTGAAATATAGAACTGTGAATAAAGGTATACATTTTCATCCTAGAAATATCAGTAAAATTAATAATAAAAAATGTTGAAATAGGAGTTAGTCATTTTGTCAACTGAAAGGCTCATATATAGCTTGCAAATACTATATATTAAATTTATATGTAATATAAGGGTATTAGGAGAGAGATTTTAGCTACAGATACGTTTCAATTCCCGTATCACAACTTAAAAAACATAATTATTTTCAAGTTTAGGAATTATTTTATCAATGCTAATGAATTAGAATTCTAACACTTACGGTATCATTTGATTCTGCATCAACTGTAGGACAAATGAATAAATTTTTATATGTCCTATTCAATAAATATTGCTTTTAAATAGGGAAATATTAAACACACTTTTAAATAATAATTTATAATTCTCACGTTTTCTAAAAATTCTCGCTAAAACAAGAACGTCTTGCTTTGTATAACCTATATGGTGGATGGAATTATTTCTGGAAGGAGATAATTGAAGAGAGGAGATTAATGGCAGAGTGATGAGAAGAATCATCTCACTCTTTGTCTTTCTATTTTCTTTGTTGATTTTTCTCCTTTATTTCTTTCTCACACACCATAAGCAGATCTACATGTGTAACTCTTTTCTTCGCTACGGTTGAATATTATTATAACTATTAATGACCCTAATCGTTTTTGTGGGGTGCTTGGCGAGCTCATTTGAGTGAATTTACTGAATCAATAACCTACAATCCTCAGTGTTAAACTCAAGATTACTCTGATTAATTTGAGCTGTTAGCGGATAATGAATAATTCATCAGTTTTGACCAAACCCAAGTGGAATTCTAATACAACATTAATATGAATATAGTTAATATTCTACCAATTAAATTATCTTACGATCACACTGAAGAAAATAGGTATTTTTTAAAATATTTAATAATAAAACGCCCCGTTTCTGAGAATTTTCGTTGATAATTTGAAGGTTACGAAAAGATGAAGCCAGTCACAAAATTGTAGACGGATATTTATAATTTGATAAAAAGAGATCTGTACCATGAGTTGAATAGTTTAGAATAGAGAAAACAACCAAGAGACTTCTTCTGTGTTCTCTGGAATCACTTTACAAACTGCCTTTTTTAAAGATTCAGAAATGGAAAGAAACCTCCAAAAAATGTTGGGGATAAATGCAAGCACGATAATAGGAATAAAATCGGTATTTAAAACGGTAATTCAATCACTTGAATTTTTATGTTTTTAATTTACTTATTAATTAATTAATAAGGTTATTTTATTTTTTATTGTACATAGTTCTATGATTATTATTTAGTTATTAATTTACTTTTGTTAATTTTATGTTTTCTGTATATATGGTGTGAATGTGTTCATATCTCGCTATGATTATTATCCAAGTGACAGATTATTACATTTCTAAATTAATATTAAAAAAAAAAGAAATAAATAAAAAAAAGTCACTAAAACCAGAGTAAATCCAAGCGGTCAGTATCCATAAGTAACTCTATACAACTAAAGAAAAGATAAAAGTATACCCCAATGGAGGAGAAATTTTAATTATTTAAAAAACAACAATTTAGAGCAAACAAATATAAGGGGAATTTAGTGAAGAAGGAAATGGAATGGATTCATTCAGTGTTTGTGCAAAAGATCGTAAGTACAAACTGATTTTTTTTTTTTTTTACATAAGAGATCAAAAAACGATTATTTGTTATTAGGATAATTCCATATTTTATTTCCCTTTGTTATTTTCCTATTTAGCTGACTACTTATAGCAGTTGTACCTTTAACGCAAAGGGAATAAACATATAAACATACGACCTTTTTTATTTTCACTCACCTATATATGAAATATATAATAAAGGAAAGTATTGCGACCGAGAAAATTTTTGAATCTCAGTTTTCAACGTAAATACACGTTTTGAGGTCCCCTTAGTCCGAATAACCAAGTCCCGCAAAATGGTCTATGTGTGTGTTATGGCTCTTACCTACAAGACATATGTCCGCCCTGTTATTGAATATGGAGCAGAACTTGTTATCACTGCTTCGGACGCGATATTACACAAGCTCGACATAATCCAGAATCAAGCCCTTAGACTCGTGACAGGAGGGAGCAGATCAACCCCAATATCTGCGCTAGAATTACAAACAGGCATAGTACCTCTTGAGACACACCGGGAGCAACTGGCCATTACGCTCTATGAAAGGCTAAAACGTCTTAAGATCAACTACTGGAGTACCTATGAACCCGCACCTGAACGCCTTAAAACTCAAATTAATTTTACTAAGGCAGTGGAAGATTTGATAGAAAGAAAAGGACTAGAATTAGCTGAAAGGGAGCCACTCCCGTCATTGACACAAGTTCCATTCACCAGCCAATTTGTTGTTCACTGTGATCTTCTTCAGAATGTTTCTAAGGATACAACACCAATTTACGAACAAAAAGCTATAACCCTAGAAACCATCGGAAAACGATTTCCAGAGACAGAATGGCTCCATGTATATACAGATGGTTCTGCACTGGAAGCACGCAAACATGCAGGAGCTGGTATTTATTCAAAGGAGTTTCAACTTGCCGCCCCGGTCGGAAAAGTAGCCACAAACTTTGAAGGGGAAGTGAAAGCCATTCTCTTAGGCCTTGAGATGTTAACTGAACGGAAAGACAAGAAAGTGGCTTTCTTTGTTGACTCACAGGCAGCCATTTTGTCCCTAAAAAATGGATATAGTATAAATCCAAATGTTCCTAAATGCCATCAATATTTGAACCAATTAAAGGAAAATGGGACAGAAGTCGCTTTCCAGTGGATACCAGGCCATTGCGGGCTCCACGGAAACGATGAAGCTGATAAACTGGCCAGAATAGGTTCTGGAATGATCCAACCCGATATTCCTCTGACCATGGATTCAACAAAAAGAATCATAAAGCAGACCCTCCAAAGTTCACTGAAAGCGAAATATGTACAAATAATTGAAGGGAAACAATGGAGTGGATTGCTGGAAGAAAGTGGCAGGATTCCTAGAGACCTCCCTAGAGGGCAAGCCGTGGCATGCTTTAGAATGCTGACAGGCCACGATTTCCTTCAGAAGCACCTCCACCGCATCGGTGTAAAAGATAGCCCGACATGCCCTCTATGTTCCTTAGACATAATGACAGGAGAACATCTGGATACATGCCCTGCATTACAGGACATAAGATGTTGCTTTAATGAAATGGACAGCTATTATACACGGAGAGCAAAGTTGTACTGGACTGCAAGAGCACGCATGGCTAACGAAGCAGGCGTTACTTAGGCGTGGGAAAAAAAAAAAAAAAAAAAAAAAAAAAAAAATGTGTGTGTCAACAGTCTGGCTCAAAAACAAAAAGTCTTACGAAAGTGAAATTGCATATTTAAGATTTTTATATGCTAGGGATTTTACAGTAACATTTTCGTCAAAATCGACTGACTGGAAGTGACACTTTATATCATGGGCTAAACACATTTTTACAATTTTCTCGGAAACGACTCGAACGATTTTGATTAAATTCATTATATCAGTGTAAAATACAGCAGTTTTATATAAAATGTAGTTTTATTCTGATTGATGTTCTCTAACAGGGCTTGAATGGCTAATTTTCAACATTAGCTTCCTTTAAAGTACCTCTAACTTTTTTTTTTGTTGAAACAATTAACTATTTCATATTAATATCTAATAAAAAAGATAGTTAATATAAAATATGAAAGAATTTGATAATTAACTGAATGAGAAATATAAAATCTTAACGGAGAATAGTTGTAATTGATCTCACTCAAGCTCACTGGAAAGATTATAACAGGCTTCCATACGTAACATGAGCTTAATATAATATGGACTCCGATAATATTATATAAATATACATATGCAGTTTACATAAATGCTATTATTGGTGTTATTTAATATTTATTTGTATAGATTACACCGATGTAAATATTAAAATTTGTATTTATAAGGGTACTTATAGAAATAAAAATACCCACAATGAAATATAAAGAATTATAGAATTTATTATTTTTACTTTCAGTTCTCCTTTGTCTGCAAATACTTATTTCTGTTAAGAAGAGGGTAGCAAGTGAAAGTTATGTTATGCGCGAACCGCACCAGATATTTATTAGCAGTAGCGTTATGTGTTATATTAAAATTTGCTAATAAATGCCATTTGCTGCAGTTATATTTTTCAATGAAAAATAATTTTCCTTACAACATATTTCACGTTATAAGTAAGTGATAGTAAAAACAACCTAACTTTTAAATAAGTTTTAGGGAATAAAATCCACAACTGCAATTCAATTCAGCGACAAGCATTTCTTTAAAAGGATTTCATTCATAATTTCTCTGACTCTGAGCCTTCTCATCGGCTTATCTTATTCAAAAGGACAGAATACTTTTAAGATTGAATTAAATATGCATTTCGGGACAAAATAAAATGGGCTGTCATGTCTTTAAAGGAGTTTTATCTCTTATTTTGTAGAAATTTAGTTGATACTAAGCAATTTGTTATATTGATTAGAAATATTTCTCGATTTTACGTACAGAGGATTTATAATAAATCGGAGAACTTGTTCGTAAGTATTTTATTCTGCGACTAAAGTCCCCTTAGAATAATAACAGAGCTAAGAGAATGTATACATCAGTCTGGCATGTATATATAATACTGATTTATGCAAAAATACTAAGAAGAGACATAGATATATACAAAACATAAAGAGAGAAAAATAAATAAGTAAATATAAAAATAAAATGACTTTTATCATTTAACTGTTGGTGAGCAATTCTATTTACATAGCCTAAGAATTCTTATAAGCTGGCGGAAGTTTGAATGTTTAGTATGTGGTGGTATAGGAGTTGTTTGGAGGAATTTGTGGATGTGGTTTGATGTAAGCGTGGAGTTCCAAAAGGAGGTAGCACAAATGAAGAAGGATTTGCTGTAAGAAGTTGTTTTATGGGGACGGGTATATAGATCTAAAGGTTGAGATCTGGTATTGGGAAAATGGATAGAGGAACATAGAGTAAGAAGTGCTAAGATGTAAGGAGGATTTTTGGTTCTGAGGACTTAAAAAAGGAAATCACCAAGAAGGAATTGTCGGAAAGTAGGATAAAGCCACTTCAACTCAGTGTAAAATAAGGAAGCATGGACAGGCCTGGAAATCCCAAAGATGAATCTTATGAAGCAATTCTATGAGTCATTTCAGTCTCGCCTGCAGTCTTGTGGATAGACCTACATACACCAAGAACCGTAGTCGAAGTAGGGAAAACGTGGGATGTTACAAGGAGCTTTCAGGTGTTTTTGAAATAGATTCACGGAATCGTTTAAGGATAGTTATGGATTTTCGGGTGATCTAGGAAATGTGGTTATTCCAACAGAGATTCAGATCCAAGATTAATCGGAAGAATGTGTAGTCATACGAGTATGTATGTATACATACTATATATACATACATACATATATATATATATATATATATATATATATATACATTAAGAGGTATATATTTTAAGAAATGATTTAAAATTATTATGATGCAACAGAAATCAAAAGGGTTGTTCAGAATCATAAATCCAGTTTTTACAATTTACAGTAGGATTAAAAATTATGGTGTTAGAATTACAAAACACTCCGCTTACATTAAAAATTATTTATTTATTAGTTATTAAAACTCAAGAATATGATTTTATGTGTAAATCTAAATTTAAGACAATTAATATAAAGTTTTATAATTTTTTTAAATGTTATAGTTTTTGTTTATCAAAATTAAAAAAAATATCTACAGTTTTCGATATATTTGCTATAGGAATTGTAGTAAGTTTAGCTTTTCGGTATTCAATATTACTTTCTACGATCTGTTATGTTGCATATTTTTTCTCAACGGTTTGTTATACATATATAATACTTCTCTGAAATTTAATTTTATCTATTTTCAGCCTGTGAAATTATTTCTCCTTTATCTCCTATATTATATAAAATTATTTCAGATAATGTATCAACATGCTTTGTGTTACTAATAACGATGGGAGATCTTTAATTGTTTTTACTAAACAAAACTGAAGTTAATTTAGAAAAATAAATTTTGAAAATTCAGTATTTAAGCCACGTTCGACTTAACTGATATTAAATATTATTTCATGTTTAATCAAAACAGCTAGAATTGATTTGGAAAATATCTTAAATATTCGTTTACGTATGTTGTTTAAGGTAGCATATATAGCCCGGAGAGGATCACTCAACCTCACATTGCCATGGATCATGGTCTCCATGGTGCATCAGCAAGCCATCCATAACTTCATAGACCAGTCCTTTTGCGGCGAATCTGGCAGTGGCAGCTCGGTCTAGATCCATGGATTATGGCCGCTCAAAGATAGTGTTTGATGTTACTTAACCTAAGCCCACTTATCCCTCTTTGCCCTCCTCTTAGAACCAGATATATCCCTAAATTAATTAGGTAATTTCAGTATTTTATTTTAGTTTTTTAGCTATGCTGTTCACATCCACATATACCCACTCTTTGTTGGGAGACTTGATTGTTTTGAGTCAAGGAGACATGAAACAGGTATATACGTTAAAAACTCGTAATCAAAAGTGGTTGAATTACATTTTGATTTTTTTATTCAAATATATGTATATATATATATATTTATTATATATATTTATAAGTAATACAATTTTTTTCAAGAAAAATTATTTCAGCCAGATACCATATATATATTTTTTTTTTTGTTATAGAAAATCCCATGTGCGGTATTATTATGGCATACGACCCGTTTTGTTGGAAATAAGAAATATAAAACTGATATTCTGGCGGCCGATGAGTTGTTATTTAAGATATAAACAGTTTTTATTAAATTTGTAAGAGTAGAAATTATTATAATTTATTGATTGAAGTTACCAGAGATTGGAGTTTTCAATGAAAGTTTGCTAGGGTTTTCCAAACCCTTCAGAATTGGGCAGAACGACCTTAATAAAATATAAATGAGTAAACAGCTGTAACGTTATTACCTCCCAAAGCCTGACCCACTCAACCAGGGTTTCTTTTAATCGAAAGATCAATAAATGCAACCTTCATATATATATATATAATACACCATAAACATTTTTGTAAACATTATAAATATATTTGTAAACATAATAAACATTTTATTACTTGTAAATATAAAAATAATATGAAATAAAAATTGAATAATACTTAAATACTATCATTGACCTATAAATCTCAATTAGCTTCTCTGTAATTAAAATAATAAAATGATGGAGTAATTTAAGAAATATTTTAATGACGAACCATTAAAAACAATTGTACTACGTAATATTGTAATATATTATACAACTATTCTGTTAAAACGTAAAAAACCTATTGAATATCCACGTAATACTTTAATGGATTAATGCTTATCCAATTTTAACAAATATACAGATCTTAAATATAAATATCAATATAACATGTGTATAATATCTTTTTATATTTCATTACTATAACATAATTATAGAATAGTATTTATTTTTTAAAAACTTTTTTCTAAGATATTTTTTCTTATTAATTCTTATTTTAACTAATGGGTATTTTAAATTCCATTGTATATTAATTTTCATTAAAAAAAAAATTATTTTACCAAATATATTATTATTTGTTTTATTTATTTGCTTTTATTATATATATTTATTTGTATGTTATTTATTATTTGAAAATTTAAAATTAATCATTTTCCTGTAAAATATTTGCGAATTACTATTTATTATGTAAAGTTGAGGCCAACTTTATCTGTATGTGGGCTATCCTCGAGAAAATTAAACAAATAAATAATAATAATAGCATAACGAACAAATTGTAATAGAACACATGTAAGCATGCAGATCATGTAAATGAAATTAGATAACCAGCCCTTTTAATCGTCAAAGTAAAATAATGTAGTATTATTATAATGTATATAACCTATGAGGTTTTTTAATCTTTTTAAAAAAATAAATACAAGTTTATTTTAAATAAAATTTAATTAGGATTGTCTCTTCAATAAATGCAACATCAGATCTCTTGTATTATATAATCAATGACTATATAGTGTATTATTTAAAATCTGATGTATATGTTTATAAATTTATACAAAAAAGCAAAATATAAGTATCTCAAATGGACTTGTTAAGTATTTAATGCAATATAATAAGTACATTCTTATCTTAAGATTGAGGTTAAGAAAGTTTCTTCTGATAAGGCTACCTGACAACAAGTGGTGACGTCACCAACAAAATCGTTCCTCTTGTTTTGATCCATTTTAAAGTGAGATAAATGGTACCTTGCATTACGTACAACATAAAATATGCAGATAAATGGATGGGATGGATGGATATATGAGATGTGGATGTGCGGACATACCAGGTCTATGAAGATAAACTAACGTTCCTCTTGTTTCGAACCATTTTAAAATGAGATAAATGATACTATGTAGGTATATATATGTGTATGCAGAGAAATGGATGAGATGGATGCATATATGAGATGTGGATGTGGATGGACATACCAGGTCTATGAGCTGGGATAGCCTGAGGCCGAGCTTGACGAGGACGGTGTCGGTGTTGTTGGAGACGGGCCTGATGAGCCTGTTGTAGTTGGAGAGGAGGTCATCGTAGAGCCGCTTGGCGTCCGGGTTGGCGGCGGCCGAGAGGATGGCGGCGAGGAGCAGAGCGGAGGCGGCCCACATCCTCTGCACACTGCCTTCGACCCGGCGGCTCGTGCGGCGCTGCGCGCGCCCCCTCCCACCCTCCCGCTCCCGCCTCTCTTCAAACCCGCGTCTCCTCCGACTTGGACCTCATCAAGCGGGAAGAGGACCGGAGTGGTCCTTAACGGTTTACCTAAGCGTTGTAGGCGTAAGAAGGACGATTCCAGAAATTGACAGAGCGAACAATAAAGGAATTTTGGAATGAGGCAGATCTGTGAGAAGGCATGTAAAGGTTAGAAGGTCGAGATCTTGTGGACAGGGAATGGACAGAGGATTTGAACTGGAGAAGGTTGTAGGCGTAAGAAGGACGATGATTGTTGTTGATTTGATAGAGGAACGTACCCAGAAAATATTGTCTTCGAATGGAGGGGAAGAGCCACTTTAACGCAGTGTAGTGGTGAGACACTTGGTAGTGGTGGACAGACATTTGGTCATGTAAAGATCCGTTCCTACAGTTAAGCCAAACCAATATTTACCTGAACTCCTTGTATTGGTGGGCGAAGCAAGTCCGGAAAGTTGGCCTTTTGGTTCTTATCGAATGAACGAAAGTTTTTCCGTAAAAATTACACAACCATTGATAATATATTTAATCTCATTAACATCGTAACTTAGTCCGTAAGAGGAAATTCTATGCATTTTATGTAGATTTTTTATCAGCATTTGACAATGTGGGCAGAAACGCACTTTTTTGTATAAACTACATGAAGTAGGAGTTTCCTCAGAGATTATAAATTTAATAAAAGCATTATATGATGATACTGAAGGCTCAATATGGATAGGTAAAGCATTAACGAACAGTTTTAAAACATAGAGAGGGCTAAAACAGAGATGTATTATGAGTCCATTTTTGTTTTCCTGCTGTATCAATGATCTAGAGAATTGTTTGGGGGTTGATTCTCTATTAATAACAAAAGAATTAAAATGCTGGCATATGCAGATGATATCGTAATTTTGGCCACAAGCCCTATTGTACTTCAAGGGTTGATAAATAATTTGAAAATATATTGTAGAACGTGGAATTCGAATATAAATTTAAATAAATTTAAAATTATGTAATTTAGAAAAGGAGGGAAACTGGCGAAAAATGAAAATTGGAAATTTATTAAACAAACTATAGAAATAGTAATTTGTTATAAGTATTTAGGGATATTATCAACGCCAAATTTGTCTAAGAGTAAGCATTTTCATCGAAAATTCTCTAAAACAATGATCAGCATTAATGTATTATGGAAGAAGCTATTTACTCATAATAAAATAAATTTGAATACAAAACTTAAAGTTTTCAAAGCTGCAGTTAGATCAATTATGGGTTATGGTGCACAGGTGTGAGGTTGTGAATACAAAGAATTGGAGAAAGTTCAGTACTATTTTATTAAAAACCCAGATATACACCTGCATATATTATTCATATAGAAACGCAATTAACTCCGTTGTATCTAGAAAGCCATAATTATATATGTAGAGTTATGCAGTACTCGGATAATATCTTACCCAAAATAATAGCTAAAGAAATAATTAAAATAGAAATAGGCCGGTACAAAGAGGTAAAACGTTTAACAAATCAATATCAAATAAATTTTGATTATAATAACACAAATAAATGGAATGTGCCTTTTCAGAATGTAAGAGATAAACTGACAATAGAATTACAAAATATGTTCAAAACCCTAACAAAAAATTCAAATAGAACGAATATATACAAAGACTTGAATCATGATATATCAGGAAACAATTATTTCAATAAGAAATACAATCAAACAAGAATAAAACGGATATTTAAGTCCAGGAGGAGAAATAATAAAATTAAACTGTAGGGTATATTACGAAACAAATAATAAATTATGTTCATTATGTAATATGAATGAAATAGAAAATATCGTGCATTTCCTAGGTGTAGGTCATGTCCTGGCGGAAATTAGGAAAAGATATTTTGGATAAGATATCCTGACATTTGGAGAAATAATTGCACATTTGAACGGCATAAATTGGTTACATCTATCCTATTGTTGTAAAGCAGCCTGGCAATACAGATATGCATTATTCCAAGAATTTAATTATTAACTGGTGATTAATGTTTAAGTCGAAAAAATTATTTATGTGATTGCATTAAAATATCTATATTAAAAATTTGTATGTATTTATATATTAAAATTTTATTGTGCATTTATAATTGTGATATTAGGATTTGATATATTTTGTTTCTATATTTATTAGCATTTACATTGTATTTATTATCATTAACATATAGGTTTTAGTTTATATTATAGTATCAATAATACTTGTTTTGCCAAGGCCAGCCTCCGGCTGTTTTAAGAACCAAACCGTAAATTTTTTTTTTATTGAGCTTGGATACTTTTGTTGTTTGTTATTGTATAAATACTCAATACAAAATTCATTCAATAAATGAAAAAATGATTTTATTCTGGGAATACAGTTCCCTAGGAATAATAACAGAGTTACTAAATTTATGGGTCTCAGTCTGACATAATTATAAAAATACAAACTAATTTAGTGGTAATTGTTATTTAAATTGCGCAATAGATTGAAATTAAACAGTGTACAGACGCAAGTAATTTTACATGTTAGGGAAAGTTTGAATGTGGAGTAGGTGTTGGAACAGGAGTTGTTTGAAGGAATTTGTGGACGAGGATTGACGCAAGAGGAAGGAAGTGAGTCCCATAAGGAAGCAGCACGAATGACGAAGGATTTGCTGAAGGAGGAAGTTTTATGGCAGGGGATTTATAAGTCTATAGGTTGAGACCTAGTATTGAGAAAGTGGATACATGAGCGTAGAGTAAGGAGTTCTAGGATGTATAGAGGGTTTTTGGTTCTGAAGACTTGGAAAAGGAAAACACCAAGGAGAAATTGTCGTCGGAAAGTAGGATAAAGCCACTTCAACTCGGTGTACCAGAGTAAAACATGTGAACGCCTGGAGATCCCGAAAATATATCTTATGAAACAATTCATGAGTCTCTTTCGTCTCATTTCCAGCAGTTACTTATTAGCTTATTACTATAGAGATATCATTGTAATTTTTTAGATAGGAGAAACCTGACTAAGCCCGAATGAAAAATTAGAGAAGTTAAAAGCAAAAGTATATTGGTTATACCAATTTATACCAATTATTAACATATAGTAATTAAAATTGTTGAGTATTAGTAACTATTTTCATTTAAAAAATCGATTTTTTTACAAGTCCTGGTCTTGGTCTTGCAGCAATTAGGCGGCATTGGCCATGCATAGTGGAAGACCAAGACCGATTTTGGGGAAAACTAACTATATTGTATATTGTAAGTCCTTATCTTTTAAGAAATATAATTAAATATGTTTTGATTTCTGCTTCTTCGTATTAATAATCTGTATATGATTTAATAAAGTCAAAGTTCAACGGAATATCTGTCAGAAACTCTTACGGTGACTTTCAAGTATGTGAGTATGACATTGGCTGGAAGAGAGAGGTCGCCCTCACGCGGCTGAGGATAGGACATACTAGACTGATCTCATAACAAAAGATCTTATCCCCAGATGTCAAAAGTGTGACCAGTTATTAACCATAAAACATGTTTTGGAAGAGTGCCCTTTTTACACCGCAAGGTTAAAAGATCTCGGAATACCCCAGAATATATCAGCATCCCAGCGAAATCAAGAAGAAATCCTTACCAAAGTTATCAAGTTCTTGGATAGTGAAAGACTTAAAAACATATATGACAAGCTTATAACTAATGATCCTTTTACATATTTATTATTATTTTTTTTAAAAGTTCATTTGTTTATTAATTTCAATTCATTTATTAATTACTGCTATTTTTTAAAAGATTATTTATCTGTCTATTCTATCTCATTATCTATAAGTGTCTTTTATTATCTTTATTTATTTATTTTATTCTATCAATTCTTTTATTTTTTTTTTTGTACTAACCATCCAAACAGTATAAATGTAGTGTTATTTAGATGATCGGGCGCTGATGGCCTGAATGTTTTGCGCCTAGACATCCAAACAAACAAAACGTCATTGGCTGCATTTAGATATTATTAATAATGGACATTCCTCTTAATAGCAGAGCTTAAGAGATATGGGAGGTGAAATTGGCATGTCATATTGAAAGAAACGATTATATTTCGTTGATCCATAACTTGAACATAAACGATTTAGAAAGTTTTCCAAATCAAGATCTATTTATATATAACGTCGGTTCGAAGTCCTTAAGATTCTATCAGAGTTCAATTCAGCGGGACAATCGCCGTCCACTCCCAACGTCCATTACCGTTACAATTCCCTTGGAAAGTTGAGGTCCCGCGACCTACACTAAAGCACAACTTGGAACACCCTCCAGTGACCGGCCCTTCCAATCAAATGCTGAGCCCTCCGGTGCTTTCAGACCTTCCGAGCTTTGTTGCAGTTCTTTATTTTTTCTTTGTTTTCAACGACTCCCTTCAATGGGATGGTATAGAGCATGTGCCGCTGTGTATATTGATTCTGATAACTTCTATAAAATGTATGCTAATAATTTATGAAATATATCAAGAACCCGATAAGGTTCTTTTTTTCACAATTTTGTTTTTATTCATAAACTATAGTAAAATAAAAATACAACTAGTGAATATAAACAGAGAAACATAATTATATTGCCGCGAGACCATCTTCTTTTCAGATACTTTGGATGGTTCGGAATTTGAGAAGAAAAGATATTTGGATTGAGCCAACGCGGAGACAAATGGGACATTAATGTCATTATAAATGGCGCATCAAAAAACGAATCCAAATGCAAGTATGTCATCTTTACCCTCCGACGCAGATCCTGTCCACCTATTCTTTTTAACTAAGTACCTCTCCTCGTCTCAAACACAGTTCGGTATTTTGGATTCCTTTTAGACAAAAGACTAACATGGAACCCGCATACCAGACTTAAAAGACAAGAACTTAACCGACGACTTGGCCAGTTCTACATACTACTTAACAAAGAATCCAATCTCTCAATTGA